ATAGAAACTAAAAAAATGCTCGACCCGACAAATAGAGTTGCGTTATTTCTAATTTATTAATTTATCTTTCTACGTTACGTGAGCAAGTGTCGGGGTCATCGGGGACTAGGTAGCGGAAGTTGTTAACAGGGAGACGGGAAGGCGTTGTTTGTTGCATTGGTTTTATAACATATTCATTGAGTTAGAAAAACAGAGGGAAGCTAGATTTGTGAGATTTTTGTTAATTTATTGCTAACTAAATTTGTTATTAGCTACTAGATAAAAACTTTTCTAAGGGCGGCATAGAAGTTCATAATAATGTTAGTGACTGGAACTCTGTAACACGATACGTCGTTCATTCATCAGTTAACCATCCGCATCGAAATAGCTTGACTGCTTTTTTATTTGCATACTATACAAGAAACATGGATTTAACATCTGTTCAAAAAGTGACCAGTTGCCCTGAGCTAACCACACTAAAGTTCGTTCATCAATTAAGCCCCTCTATCTGTTATTCGAGCAGTATATCAATAAGTCGGTCTGTTTTGTTATCATTCAACTAAGCAAGTCAGCCAGCAGAGCCGCCCAGAGATATATGAGGACCTGAGCAGAATATAATTTGGGCCCTCGGTAATTTCCAATTTATCGTCATCCTTGTTCCAAGGCCCTCTCGGCCGAGCGCAACCTTCATAGACCCTGGGAACACGGAACCGGAAGTACAAGAAAACATGCAGTAGTTTCTAAAGCGCATACTCTTGAACTTGGACTCTTTAGCATCTAACAATTTTCACAGAGAAGTATTACGAAGAAACGAGATATTTGTGTTGACATATTTTGATAGAATAATTTTGCCTAGCGAAAACTGCTCAACTTCTGCGAAATAGCAGTTCTCTTAGAAGCCAATCATATCTCTCGTTTTAGTCGTCTGACTCAGAGCCTAATTTTCAACGAGTGATCAAGTGAGAATGACTCTGTGCACGGGAATGACTGAATATTAGATACATAAGATCCGGGGCCATTCTGATACAGGCTTTCCCATTCCGGAATGCTATATAGTTGACAGTTATACATATAGTATGTATATTTCGCTTTATTATATTTCTTTTTATTTCCCAGAATTCAGAGGAAATTTTGCCCCTGTCTGGTCCTGGCTATCAGTCCGCTATTCGATCCAGATTGAGTCGGTTCACCAGTTTTACACTAGTCCGTCATTGATTCATTTGTTCGTTTGTTCAGTCGGCCAGTCAGCTTTGCATATCCATATTTGCATTTTAAACTTTTGCATTTTCGACTTCTGCGTTTTTAACTCGTATATTCTTAACTTTTACATTTTCAACATAACCATTTATTAACCACAAGCTAAGGCATAAGATTTGAATATTGGGACGATTATCATGACATTTACCGGGTATTCCGCTCGATAGCTTAACTATTGTCATTTTTGTCCGAAAAAGTGAAATAATTGATATAATTATATCTATTCTTAAATGAATTACAATATGTTCCAGTAGCACGTTCCTGTCACCCACTTATCTCATTTGCAAACAACCTTTGAAAATACGATGACCATATATACGTGCTACCATAAACAGGTGCAGGGCTGCAAATCTTGCAATATGCCAATATATTACCGAAATCAGTAGAGTGTCTTTTCCGGAAGTTGAAAGACAGTCAGAGACCAGTAGAAACGTTCATGTTTTATGACGTCATGGTGAAAGAATGCAGTGTGGAAGTTGTGTGTTATTTTACTTATTAATAACTTTTAACTTTTCAACTTCCGGAAAAGACACTCTATTGATTTTGGTAGTATTAAAGCTAGTGAACATTCATGCAGAGTCCATAACAATAGTCCGAAGAGCGACATGAATAACTACAGGCCATAATAACGATGGCTTTTTTATTTTTACTTTTTTAATTTAACTCTTTCTTTTCAATTTCGCCCAAAAAGTATTTTAATAATTTTTACAAAAGTTTAGTATTTTATTATTAAAGTAAAAAGGTAAGGCTATGGGTCTACTAGAAACATGACTCGACAACAAGACTCCTAGGTTGTGTTACATTTACAGAAACATTATTTTGTCATAGACTAAAGATATAATCAGTTCATGATAAGAAATAAAGATAATTATTATATGGCTTTTCAAAATTCTCTATTCTGATTGGTTGCAAGCGGTCTGTAAAAACCCATATCCGGACCGTGTTCCGTACTTTCCGTATCTGGATCGGTGTCCCGGATGTAATTTATCTGGCGGGAAATTTTTGCTTTGGAAACAGAAAAATTTTTTGCTTTATAAATTTCCAATTGTGCTTTGCAGATAAAAATTTCAAACAGCCAAATTGTTTTTGATTGAGCATGCATGCCTGCCGTATATTGTTACCCAGTGAAACTGACGATAGCCGATTTAATTCGCGTGAAAAGCATATGTTCACAGACTCAGTTCAGCAATATAATAAACCGATTATTCAACCTCACTTGTTCGGTATATACTGTAAAATATTAGACCTCTGTTTTTTTGCATGGACCTCGCTTCTTCGTCTCTCGGCTCATTCTAAAAATCCTCGGTCTGTTATTTCACAGTGCAGTCCCCATGCACGCTCGGTCAATAATCCTTTAGTATGTTCAATTATGAGTCTAAATAGACTTACAGTTATATACGTCACTACGCCACTGCGAATCAGAGATTGAGCATCGCATGGTTTAAATTCATACCCATAGTTACAAAACGGTCAGCGGGATATTTTCACGGTAACAGAATGAAAATTAAACTATTTTAGTATTTTTTACGCTTATTTGTACCACTAATTATTGGCTTCCTATGATGACCCAAATTGATGTATGAAGCAATGCATGATATAAGCTACATTACAAATACACTAAATAAAAATTTATCAAATATTTCCAAAACGGATACCGGTAAATTGGTTGAGTCTCAATGCCAAGAAAACTAAACATATGATCATAGGATCCCACCAGCAATTACACCCAGTTTATTCGCAACCATCCATATTTCTTGGTGGAAATGAGATTCAGCGAGTTAAATCTACGAAGTTATTTGATGTGATGATAGATGAAACATTAAATTGGGGCGATTTTAACATAACAATATTTAAATTAGCTACTGCAGGGGCGCAGGGGGGGGGGGGCAGGCTTTGAGGGGCACTTTTCGAATAAAAAAGGGCATGTAAAAATTTTTCCCGGAAATGTTCGCGACGGGGCAGAGTGTCATCTCGAAAAATTTTTTCCGGACATACCAAAAAAAGTTTCCGGATATATCACATTTTTTCCTAAATTTAAAAAAAAATTTCCGGACATACAGAAAAATTCTCCGGATTTTCAGTGATATTTTTCCCGGAAATGAAAAAAATTTCCGGAAATAACATAAATTCAAGTTTTCAAAATGCCCTTTGAGCAAAAAATGCAATCTTAATAACATTTTTCATGCAACGAAAAGGGCACTTTGCTCCCGGAAAAAGGGCACTTGGCAAAACTTTGGGGGCCTGGCGCCCGGTTCCTACGCCCCTGTTAGCTAGGTAAATGCCTGAATTAAGCATGCATGCGTGAAAGGCATTGGGTCCTAAAAATGACTTAAAACTATATTTAAAGGACTTAAAATTGAGAAAATTTTGTGATATTTGGAACATTTATAAAACACATAACGAATCTCTGCTCATGAACTCAAAAATGCGTTTCAAGCTTTTAAATTTCGCACGCAAGCTATTTTTAATGATACTAGAAAAGCACTCTCCCTTGCTCTGGAAAATTTATGTTTACGAAGATTTTTTGTTTAGTCTAAGTTATATGTACCCAAACAATCTATCTTTAGCAAATCTTTGATGACGTGAACTAATTTGTGAAATTGAAAGCCGTTTTATTGTCATAAAAAACGTGAGAATTTGGTTGCGTTTCAGAATGAAAACACTAACCGTTTACAATCACCAATTGCAAACGTCATTCAATTTGTGTCGAGAAGTAAAGATTTAATCGAAATGAAGTCAAGTTGGTGAGCTTAATATTGAAGCTGGCACTACATGCGGAAGTAATGGCAGAACTATTTTACAAACATCATTTAATTACCAGCTTCTTGGGTTGATCAGTGGTACTAAAACAAAAACCCTTGACCAATAGAACTTCTGCTGTGCCTTATCTGGGACATTGGGAAAATATTTTCTCAGTACAGACCCTTGATCTAGTAGTAACGCATACTTATTTTTTCCTTTTAGTAAAGGAATTGTGTCCCGTACGTCCCTGTGGTCGTTGGAGTCACTGTAACAGGACTAACAGTTCAGCTACATGCCAATGTGAAACTGGATTTTCTGGGAATGGTACTCTGTGCACAGGTAAATTATATTTAATCAGCCGTGATCAAAACTGGAAGATATCGAACAAAAAATATAATGGTCGACAATAAAAAATAATAATGTAAGCAAAAAAGATATAAAAATAAAAGACTTGCTACAATGCTACAATTACAAAGTTGTATGGACATCTACAACTTTCTTTTTATTAAAGACCAGAAGGCTTTTTTTATAACAAATTTAATAAATTCAGGGCCGTAGCAACCGGCGGGGCTGGGGGCTGCAGCCCCCCCCAATAATTTGCTAATAATCATTCTTTTTTCAAAATCATGCAAACTTTATCATTTAATCTGTGACAAACTGCAAAGAATGAAGATATTACTCATACTCCAGATCGTTCCTCGCGTAGAAATTTTAGCTGAATTTCTGTCGCGCATTTTCAAGAAAATCCCACAAAATCTGCACATTTTTGTTGAACTAATGATTTATTTTGTCTTTTGCGTGTTGGGTCTTGCGAAAGAAAACTCTGAAAATGCCATTTCAGACCATCTAGAGACTCCAGATTTTCGAAATTTTCTCAAATGTTCTGCCTTCATTTCCGCGCAACTGCCATTTACGACGAAAATTCCCGCCGCGCATTTATAATACTACAGTCTGGCCCATGCTTTCCTGTAAATTTCGACATACTAAAACGCTGTTTTCTGACTATCAGAATTCTGTTAAATCTTCCCCCAAAGTCCAGGAAATGGCATTTTAGAGACTCTAAATTTAAAAATTTCCTCGGGCCTTCGGCCCTCGCTTTCAGCCCCCCCAATCGAAAAGAGCTTCCTACGGCCCTGGACTATGAGGACTACACTAGATTTCAAGTCCGCGCAATTTGATCACGTCCGAGGCGAAGCAGAGGACTGGATCAAAATGTGAGGACTTGAAATCTAGTCCAGTCCGAATTGGAGGATTTGAAATGACATCTCATACGAATAAATCACTACTTAATTAATTTTGATCCAGTCCAAGGACTGAATTAATTTTAATCCAGTCCTAGGACACTCATGAATTATTAGTGATTTAAGGTGAACAATGATGGTAATGCACGTAGGTATTATCAGTGCAGTAAATCTAGGATTGGTATCCATAGAGTATACTGAGCGATGGTGGAACGGACAGTTTAAGAAGCGCCAAACTTATCTTGCATAGTTATTCAATAATAATACATTGAAGATTCAATCAGAGGTTTTCCTAGGAGTTTATATAAATAT